TTTAAGGTTACCGAAACTGTCAAAATACTCAACATCGTTTCCCTTCCTCTTTTTGTATGCTACCCAGTGGGTTCCTCTATTTCGACGAACATCCAAATTTACGATTCCGCATTCTTGCGATCTGATTCGACGGGGTAAACTATCTCGCATAAAAACACCCCTGAAGTGAGGAATTTTTAATTTGCGCGCCAGAGATATTAAATCGACGTCGTATAGAGCCCTTCTGGGTAGCTTTATTGGGAGTTTTTTTGTTTCTTCAGATAAAGACCGAATCCGCCGCGCGGACTCTTTTTCAAGAATAGACCCGATCCCTTTTTTCCAATCTCTTCCATAGCTCGGTTATGGCGGTTGTCCTCTTCGAGTTTCTTTCGTGCGTTTTTCGCATCGATGACAGTTTTAGCGATAGCAGCGGCTCCGCCCGAGAGCGAACCTAAAGCCCCTAGCGCTCCTAATAACGGTAAAAGTGGTAAAATACCGCCCGATTTTGATTCGAACGGTATAATTCTAGGTACCCTAATTTTTTTACGTCCTCCCGCTTTTCTTACAGCGGCTCTGCCAGCTCGAAGCGCTTCCAGTGCCGATCTTCTAAGCATTTTAGGGTTATCGATATGAAACAATTGTTTCTTCTTTAATGCATTGCGAACCTTTTTCACGACACCCTGTCGAAACGAAACAGAGGGACGCCGTTGTTGACCCATACCGAGCTTACGTTTAGTTTTCATAGTCGCGGTGACAAAGAATGCGGCAGCTTTTTCACCAAACTTTGCGTCTTTAGATTTTACTCGCTGCCACGCACGCGTTTCCAATTCTTTATCCGCTTTATGACGTTCGTCTAACGATTTGTTTTGCGAATAGGCAATGTCGTGTACCTTACACGCAGCGTCCAAAGGATTCACCCCGCTATCGCCTCGGTTCAAGCGTTTTTCCAATTTTGTACCGGGACCGCAAAACTGGTAACCCGGAATGTGTACTTCAAAAGGTAACTTGTTAATAAGCGTGTTAACGAGACCACTTCCGGACGCGAAGCATAACATACTAATTAAAGGAAATTGCTTGTGTCGTATATATATACGAGGTGTCTCGAATAAACATTGTAGTCATGCGGGTGGTGCAGCAGAAACTCAAGCTCCCCATCGATAATTTAGATTTGGTTTGCGGAGATGGTTTCTTTAACAAAAGCAAACACGGTCAACTGCTACCCAATTCATTTAGGGCGGTGTTTTGCGGACCTAGCGGTTGCGGCAAAACCAACACCATGTTAGCGCTACTCTTTAACCCCAACGGGGCAAGTTTCGAAAATGTTTACGTCTACTCAAAGTCGTTGTATCAACCAAAATATCAACTGTTATCTCGCGTATTGAGCAATGTCAAAGGAGTTGGATATTATCCCTACAGTGAAAGAGACTCGATAATCGACCCCAGCGACGCGAAAGAGAATTCTCTGTTTATTTTCGACGACGTGGCGTGCGACAAGCAAGATAAAATTCGCGAGTATTTTTCGATGTGCCGACACAAGGCCATCGACGCTATTTATCTCTGTCAGACATACTCCAAGGTACCCAAGCAATTGATACGTGACAATTGCAATATTGTCGCGTTGTTTAAACAGGATGACATGAATTTACGTCACGTTTATGATGAACATGTCTCACCCGACGTTTCATACGACACGTTTAAACAAATTTGTTCCGAGTGCTGGAAAGAAAAGTACGGCTGTTTGATAATTGTCAAAGATTTCGACGTAAAAAACGGACGCTACCGCAAGGGTTTCGATAAATATATAAAAGTCGATATTTAATTGTCGATAGAAACAGTCATGAAGGCGACGTCCGCCGACATCGCCGACGCGGCGCTAAAAAAAAAAGTAAACGAGTTGTCTAGATCTATTCGAAAGAAGTATTTAACATTAAAATTGGGTAAGAGCGAAGAGGATGCGTCAATTCGGAAGCTTTTCAAACCCGTCAGCGAGCCGCTAGAACGTATAGCAAAAATAAAGCTATCACCGTCACCGGCAGAAATAAAAACTGAACGTCGAGGTGTCAAGCGGGAACACAAAAAGGAACCGAACGAAGAAACAAAAAATAAGGTTAACGTATCATTTTTGCCTATGGAAGAAATTCAGGAAACGCCGGATCCCAATAAGAGCGTTGAGATGCAAAATATCGATGAGGAGGAAGATGATGTGTTTGACACATCGAGCGTGGCCAACGCATCCCTTCAATCATACCTGGAACAATATCCAGAAATTTCCCATTCATATATTCAAAATTTATGGGTAAAATCGCCCGACACCGATATTGTTTACGGACCCGTTTACGACAAAATATCATCCAAATGGTTTCTCGGCAATAAATCGCTGGATTTTCATCAAGGATCTGGCGATATTATTGTAGACGGCGAGAGATATTCCGGTACCCGCGGCTTGTATAATTTGGTGTTTTTGAAAGATCCCATAGCATACACAAAAGACGATTTGGCACAATATAAAAAAATAATGGAGGCTACCCAGGTGCACAGGGACGCGATCGGACGTTTGAAAGGCGCATCGACTGTACCAAAATATACCAAGGTCATCCGACCCTTAATAAAATCTCAGTCGCGTTCGTACTCGTACAGCGGTCAAGGTTATAATATGCGTTATAATGACGCTCCTACTGAATATGTATACTGGGACGACGTCAATGAACTCGTAGAGCGTCTGAAATTACTAATCGCGTCGAAACACGCAGGCAACACGTCTCATGATAACGAAATAGTTTCAATCGTTGAAGAGCTAAAAGAATCAGGTTTTATACGTTAGTTTAACGATGAGTCTGGACAAGTTTGGACGTTCTAGCGCGCTGCGCTCTAAACGACCCTTCACTAATACTGTGATTAGAAGCGCCCTCGACTATATGCCAGACGGAAACGTCAATATGAACAATTTAAAAATTTGCAATGTCCAAACGCCTAGCGATGACGGTGACGTGGCTAACAAAAAATATGTGGATGAGACAAGTAATTTATTAAAAATTGCATTGAGAAAGATTATTGGACAGAAACTCGAAGCGTACACGAAAAGATTACAAATTGAAGACAAAACTAAATTCTCGCGTCTTGAAGAACAACTGAAAATGAGTAGCACTACACTCGAAAATGAAATTATGCAGTTTCGCGAAGTTTTCCACCAAAAGCTAAGCGAAATGAGCGCAAAGAAAGATTTGGAAAAGCACATGACAAAAGTCGCCGTTTTGTCACAGCAATTTCATGATATTGTAACCAAAATGGAGCGACTTACGAACGAAAATGAGAATATAATGAAGGTATTGAAACAAAGGGTTTTAAATCCTCCATCGCAACCGAACACACATTATGAATAAAGAGAAGGTACAACTGGTTCGAGAACTGCACAAGCCGGCACGCAGAAATTATGCTCGCCGCCGGACTATAATACGAGGGATGGATGACCTGTGGCAAGCGGATCTGGCCCAATTAGATCGCTACAGCAAACAAAACAGAAATTTTAAATTCGTGCTGGTTGTGATAGACTGTTTCTCAAAATATGTATGGTGTCGCCCGTTGAAAACCAAAACCGGGGTCGAAGTCGCCAAGGCGTTTTCCAAAATTCTCAAGGACGGACGGCACCCTCAAAACTTGCAAACGGATCTCGGTAAAGAATTTTACAACGACACGTTTCTGAAACTTGTGGATAAGCATAAAATTAACCACTATAGTACGTATAGCATAAAAAAGGCCTCAATTGTCGAACGGGTGATACGTACCCTCAAAGAGAAATTGTTTCGACATTTTTCTTTACGCGGGACGTACAAATGGATCGATGTGCTCGCCTCTATCGTTGATGAATACAATAACACAAAACATAGAACGACGGGTACGAAACCCATCGATGTGAGTAAGAGCAACGAAAAGAGAATTTTGAAAACCGCGTATAGTAGCATAAAAATATTCGGTCCTCGTAAACTTAAAGTCGGCGACATCGTTAGAATCAGCAAAGTCAAGCACGTTTTCAACAAAGGTTATACACCGAATTGGACCACGGAATTGTTTAAAATTGTTAAAGTACGGGTTACTAACCCCGTAACGTATTTGCTTCAAGATATGCAGGGTAAACCCATAATGGGCGGATTTTATGAAGAAGAATTGCAGAAGACAGTTAACCCGGACTTATATCTCGTCGAAAAGGTGTTGCGCAGACGAGGCAATATGGTTCTCGTGCGCTGGTTGGGATTGGATAAGTCGCACGATTCGTGGGTAGACAACGTAGACGTTTTGAAATAAATTTAGTCTCGATTTAGAAGTTCTGACATAAATACGTGTATATGATGGCTCAAGAGAAAATTGTGACATCCAACGAATTGTATAATTTATTGGAAAATTTCGAGTTGCAATTTCCTTCATCAGAAGTGCTCCCGTCCAGCTTCGTTCCTGTAGAGCAACAAACCAAAAAATCTGCGACCAAACGAAAACAAAGTGCGTCGGTCGTATCCCGCAAGAAGAAGAAGAAAACTACCACAAGTGAAGCGTTTGCAGCTCCAACGTCATCCGCTGATTGGCTCGAAGTGTTCACGGACGGTAGAGAAAAAAGTGTCATTTGTGAGGCATTCAATTTAAAAAGAAACTTGGCGTCTCAGTTGTCGGGATTAGAGTGCAATATCAACGAAATTGAAACACAAATTGCGCTTTTTAATACAGACTTGCAAGTGGCGCGGATGCAAGCTCAAGAGTGCAAAAGAAAACTAGAACAATTTAATAATTTAGCATTTAACGAAATTGTAAAATAGTAATAATGTATATAATAAATAAATTATACAATTACAAACTTCTGTGTAATTATTATGCGGTGTTGTGGTGGTGGTAAAAAAGAAAATAGCGTCTAAATATATACATGTTTATTCTTGTTGCAATACAATGGAATACAATCAATACATAAAAGTCTTATCTACAGTTACATATGTTATAATAAAACCACAGTATTAATAGTTCAATGTGCTATCAGAAAAGCGTAACTTTTTTCCATATTTTCTCTCATCGTGAAGCATTAAATTACATTCATCTTCAGTTTCTACAGTGAACAAAACTTCTTCAAAGCAGCTTTGACACCAAAATTGTTTATCGTGATATACATCATTCAAATTATTTATATCCAGCTGTAAATGATAGTGATCCAATAAAAGTCTAAAATTTTTCTTTTTAAATTTTTTAACTACTTGAAATATAAAGTGACAAGATTTACAAACTAAAATTTCCGAATATTTTATCCTGTAATAACTGACCCATAAACAGTAAGCGGATTCTCCGTCAAAATCAATGGTTGGAGTTGCCAAAATGCTATTTCTGTAAGACGATCCAAATCTCTTATTCAACAGAATGAATTCTAAATTTAATAAAGAATTGCCATCAGACTGGAGCGCTAATTGTTTAAGGTACCTCCATCTATATTTCGAATAATATTTAAATATTAGTATCGTTAGTTTCCAAGGCAAAGGTGACTCAAGCAAAAAATCAGCACTACACCTAATATTTTCGCAAATTGTTATAATACAAAGGCTTTCTAATGTAAGTTGTTTGACCATAATCTGTAACAAAAATATATTAAAAAATAATTAGGGCACTTTATAATGTCCCCACGGAAGCGTTTCATATGAATTCGGCAAAAGATAACGTTTATCGTCTAAAGGACTCAAGGCAACTTTTGTTTGTTCGATGCTAAATACATTGTGAGTGTATGAACGAATGGTTCGTTGAGTGGCGTACTTTTCCCTAAAATTTGTTAAGCATTCTACGTAGTCATCAAATGAAATTTTATTTTTTACAATATTGTACTGAATACCCTTTGACTTTTTAACTACCGAACCCGTTAAAATTTTGAAAGTATACATTTTCGACCTTAACCCCGCATAATGACTAATGATGGTGCCATTAGTCTCATCCTTCATCAACCCCAAAACCTTTTTGTTGATTTGCGGTATATTATAGGGATTGTCATTAGGATAATCAGACGTGTCAAATTTTGTTAAATCGGCCTTAATAACGCTTTCATATGCGTCATAACATTTGATATTATAAATGAAACTGTCCGTATCCATGTATTGAATTTTACATTTTTCGGGACCCAAATTTGGAAGCATGTAATTATAATGAAACTCGTACATGGTCGTTTTCGACAAATCCAATATGGACATTCCAATATAAAGTGGCTTATTAAAGCAAAGTTCCGATTTTTTTAATTCTATAAGCAACAAATTGTTATCAAGTATGGTTCTACTGTGAAATCTAGGACTAGAAATTAAATTTTTCGCACCGTAGCGACCATCCCACGCTTTAACAAATTTAACAATACGATGCTTGCGAATGTTTTCCATTGTTTTACCGTAAGCGGCATTATTAAACAATTTGTATAAATTTATACCAAATTTTGTCTTTGCTTGGGTTCTTAATTTATTATTATGATCGATATAACATTTCAACCAACGAGATTGGTTAAATTTTAATATTTTGTGAATTTTCTTTAGTACGAGACCGTTTTTGAGAGCCTGTTTTAAATTGCGATAGTGTATGACGTATTTTTCTTTATTATACAAAGTAGTCATTAGTTTTGGTAACTTTGAATTGGGGGGCACTCGATGTTCGGCACAAAATGGAAAATCTCTATGTGTGTCATGTAATTTCTGCGGGTATTCCAGGTCTACCTCTAGGATATATCCTTGGGAAGATTCATCTGGAATGTTCATGACATTAAATGAATCAATCTCTTGATGAGACATCCAGTCGAATCCTCCGTAAGGAAGAGGCTCGCACATGGCCTTGCCATAGAGGTTATTGACGTCAAAGTACATGATATAGGAATCATCCCTGGATGAATCGTAGTTGGGCATATATTTATTGTTGGCCTCCGCATATCTACCAACACACACCGAAATTCCACCTCGTATAGCCCGCTCGATAAACATAATTTGGTCAATGTCGCGCAAAAGTTCTAAACGACATTTTGTGAATCTAAGCATGCAATCCCATGTATACCCGGGCATACTGAAATACCACGCCGGATCCAAAACGTGTGTTGCCATACAAGTTTTTCGAAAATTTTCGAATATATCTGCCAGAAGAATAACGTCGGTTTTTAAATACAAATCTGAATACTCGCCTAAATTTTTTATTTCAAACGACTGCCAAACACTTTGTGCGTGGGAATATTTTTCTTCACTAATATTGCTTTCACTTAATTTATTATAGAATTCTTCAATCGGGGGTAAAGTTGTTTCATTTAATTTGTCTATATGGTCGATGTAATCGTAACAAAAAATACCTTTTTGCGACAGTAAATTTAATTTTGATTCGTCGAGATCGGAAAATTCTTTTCTTAAAATATATAGTTCATTTTTATCCATACTGGAAACTAAATTATCCAGAGATGCTCCCAAAAATCTAAACGAATCTATAAATCTAAATTTTATGTTATAATCAGGTTCGAAATATGTAAAAGAGATGTATTTTTCCTTATTAACCGGAACTATGGATACATAGCTTTTTTTTGCTAAAACCGGAAGCAGGAAGTGGCTATCGTATCCAGAAAGGTTCTGGAATACTACGGGCACTACAAATATTTTTTTAAAATTTAAATTACAAGCCTGATGGGCAAAACCTCTAAATTTACCAGTAAAATGATCATGGTCACGAACAATAACATCTTCTTTTAAAAAAGGTTTTTCACAAATATGACAATGACTCGACCTTTGATCTAGACTAATTTCACTATCCATTGGTATAATATCCTTAAATTTTGAACGAACAAATTTTGATAAATTAGATATTTCCTCCACGAACCAATCAATACAATCTAGACCACGATAACTTTTGAAAAATGATATTGAATCATCATAAGAACATTTAAAGTAATATGCAGCACTGTAAGCTTCGTGCTTTTGGTATTTCGAGGTTTTATCTGAAATTTTCAAATTTACTTTTCTCAATTGACTCTCAAAATCGGCGTAAATTACAAACGGAGTCCTTTGTTTATATATATGGTTTCGAAATTCAACGTAATCATATTTGGGAAAAGACACTTTATACTCATTGAAACTGGAACATATTGTTTCATGGTCATGTAGACGAGTTTCGTTATTGAAATAATTCAAACACCTATCGCAAATGTATTTCTTGTGATTATATTTACTGAGCTGTGAGGAAACTAATCGAGACAAATTTTTAATGTAACAATAGTGATATTTTATTTCTTCATAATCATTATCTTGCGGATCAGGATCAAAATCATTAACTTTTGGATAATATTTATTTTGTATTAACAACAAATTTGAATGTTTTTCGCGTTTTTCTTTTGTTAATCGTGCAGGTAACACGGAATAAAAACTAGTTTTTTCATTTTTATTAAGCTCTAAGATATAAACATTGATGGAAATATCATTGTCTTTTTCAAATTTGCTTATTTTATTCATTTCCATAGGTGTTTGTAAATTTTCAGTTTTCAAAACACTTTTGTAGTATGGATATGAAGAGGGTAAATACTGACGAAAACGTGCTGGAAAGAGTCCGCATACAACTGACCAATAAAAACACGCTTGATCGTCATTTCTAATGTTAATACAAGCCCTTTTATTCGCAATTTCTTTAGGCAACTCAACGAAGGATGACCCGTTACCCATTTCAAATTTATTAATGTTAATCTCTAAATAAATAATATTATTTAAAGCCCACCCGGAATCACGTTCCTGAAACTCTGACATTTGATTTAAAATTTTATCTTGCACATTTTCAACAAACCAATCATTCAATTCTGTTCCTAAATCAACTACAGCATTTCCGGTACTCAGATATTTAACATCAACTTCGCCTTGGACATCATTTTTTGCCTTAATAAATTCACCGCAAAATGTGGTATTTACTTTCAGCAATAAAAATTTCTTTAAAATTTGACTAATTTTTTGTTGAAATATTGGACGAGAATCGTTTAAAAATTGAATTAAATCTTTATGAAGTAAATTAATTATGACACCGGTCTGAACTCTTCCCTGGAAACACGACGCTACCGATTCCCATACAACCATTTCATTTGTGTTTGTCTCGCGGCTACTACTTTGTAATCCCAATCCAAAATGCTTATGTTGATAATTAAGAATAATTTTTCTAATAGCTTTCAGATGTTGAATTGTAGTTTGTAATTTTCTTTTTAACCCAATAGAGAAATCCTTTTCGTTAGAAACGATTTGGTTGCAAGATTCAATATTTTTATTTAGTCTCCTAAGCCACACATCACTATCTCTAAGAGTGAACTTGTCGGAAATATGCTTTTTTAATTTTTGTAAGGTTAAAATTAAGATTTGCGCTCTATGAATGATCTGCTTTACGCGCATCGTGGTTTATTAAATATATAACAGTAAATAAGACTTACCCTGTATAATATGTTGATTAATTTTGAATTATTTTGAATTTCTTTAAAGAGTTGGGCTTTCCAATATCTTTGGATCCCTCGTAGACCAGTTTGTACTGCCCCGACGCAAAGTGTTCTAGTCTCGGACGGAAAGCTTCTGTCACGCGAGTAGGAAGAAATACTACGGAATTTTCTAATTGCAGCAACACGGAATTGCCAAATTTTGTATTAACAATTTTGGCTCTAGTAATTTTAAACGGAACGCCTATCGGCAATTCATGCAGTTTGACAATCGGCTGCTCAAAATCACCTTCTGCAAGACAGGTTTGATTCAGTTGACTTAAGTCCATCTATAAATTATTATTAATTATTTTATCTCAAAATTAAAAAAATAAAAAAAACTTACGCTTAAGATTGCTGCTATTCTATTTGCGGTTACGGGTTGAGAGTACTAAGATGATCTTTAGGAACTTTATAAAATAATAACAAATGTTAAAGAATTAAAATAAGACAATAAAAAAGGTACTTACTGCTTTTTTGTACGAACACCAAACCACTAAGTTAGCTTCCACGTTGCACGAATAATACCAAAAACAACTACTGACAAAACAGAGAAAAATGAGATGTATTTATACGGTGCGAGAATACTTTCTAAAAGTTAACAAACGAAGACACCTCCACATGCGTTGCAACAAATTTTTCCCATTACGTTAATCCCACGGAGCAAATATAAAGGGGGCAATTAATTATTATTCTCAACAAGCAAAACAACTTGACATTTAGACTCGGCGCGTTTTGAAATTCCACATCCCATACGGAGATTGTAAAAAATGAAAGCAAGTTGGCCTTGATCTTTTGCGGCAACATACGTTCGTCCAACGTCCGAAACGGTTGCGTTCCCGTGTGAAAGCGTGTTGACCCTGAGACTCCTACCTGCACGGTTGTCTGGCGACAACATCGCGTCTATTCAAATCGGCGTTGGTGCTTGTGGGTAGAAGACCTTTCGACTTTTAATTCAACCATGGAAGGGAGTGCATGTGTATAAATACGTTGCATGTGTATTATAGACTATATTCAGTGCAATGAATAGAGAAGTGCGATGTCCATTTCCCTACGACCCTACAACTGGTAAGTTTTATATTTTAATTACCTTTATACAGTGCGCGTCTTTTCTTGTGGGTTTCAGTTTGGGTTATCACTTTTTTGGTTAGTTTCTACCTGTTTTAAAATATGATACTCATCTTTTTTACGTTGCATAATAACCGATTTAAATTGAGTGTTTTTAATAGCTTTTAAATGACAGTGAATGGAAAAGGGAATTTTGGCTTTTAAAAAATAAACAATTTTTAAATTTGTTTCAAAAATGTTTTATTTTTTGTACTAAAAAATTGCAGTTTGCCTTTTTGACAATAATAATCGAATTAAATTGAGCGTTTTTAATATCTTTTAAATGACAGTGAATAGGGAATTTTGGCTTTTAAAAAATAAACAATTTTTAAAATTACTGAAAGTTTTGTTTCAAAAATGTGCGTTTTATGGGGAAAACGCGAAATATATACATATTTTTGTTTATTTTTTGTACTAAAAAATTGCAGTTTGCCCTTTTGACAATAATACACTTACATTTAAATGACAGTGAATTGAAACGTGAATTTTGGTATGCGCGTATAACTTAAAAAACAATTTTTAAAATTATTTGATAACCCCCCTTTTTGGAAGTTTTGTTTAAAAAAAAAAAATGTGTGTTTTATAGGAAACGCTACATATCATACTTTGTTTTGTTCTAGAAAAAATCGCGGTTTGTCCGTATGACAAGTCGCATATTATGTTGGCGCATCGCTTAGGGCGTCACATATTCAAATCACACAAAGAGTACCGGGGGTTAGAATTCCCGGTACGACATGAAACGACAAGGGAACATCACCAGCAGCAGGAGCAACCCGGTGGATCAAAAGAAACAAAGGAGCAGCAGGAGTACCCGGGTGGGTGGTCGACGGAGTGGGACGGCGAGGAGTGCACTTCGTATTTAGATTTCCTCCGGGAACGGGGAAGAAGAACAACGCAAGGAACAGGAACAATGGGATGGTCGACTGAATCGACATAAAAAGAAGAAGAAACTCCTCGCCAGACCAATTTTATAAATAAAATAAAATGTATTAAAATTCAAGTTTATTTAATTATCCTCCCGATCCACCGCGTCACCGCGCCGCACCGTCACCGCCCTCTACCGGGGGGGCCTACGACGGTCGGAGCGCGCGACATCTAGCAGCGACGGGCGGAACCGGGGCAAAACAGGACGCTACACAAGCTGGCGACATCTAGCAGCGACGGGCGGAACCGGGGCAAAACAGGACACTACACAAGCTGGGTGGGGGGCGGAGCGCACTCTGGTAGACAGGGGGGACACTAGGACGCCACGCGCGGGGGGCCCCCGCTGCGGGGGGGTTAGGAAATTGAGGTTATGTACGGTTTCTGTTGCTTATATCGGCACTATACATCTACTACTTGAGTGCATTCTTTGGGAATTTCAAAACGTACTGTGTAGGCACTAGGCCGGTGTTAACTAGGTAAAATTCCACCTAAAACAACTAATCAGATAGAGTTTTTCCGCCATATTTCCCAAGGTAGCGATGATAACTTAAATTTTTAACGCATTATTATCATTCTCATGAAAACGCAACTTTGCTTCATTTTTTACTGACTCTACGGTTTACGGATCTCCTATGGCGAGAGTCGAATCGAAAACGATTTAAACACACAGATTTTTTCTGAAAAATTTACCGCATTTATATTCTTCAAGATACTAAAGTTTTTTCCCGAATCTAAAGTACAAAAGACGAATTGCTTTTAAGAAAAAGTTGAGGTTTTCTATT